ACTATATTATTAATTAAAAGGCAGTTTAAATTCAGCATCTGCTACATTAAACATCGCAATGTCAATATTTGATTGGCAAATGAAAATATGCATGTGCCCCATGCATATTTTCATGTTAATTTAAGTAAAGGTTGTTTAATTTATTCCCCATATGCTGCGTTATATTTTAGGACACAAACACACAGATTAGTATGCAGTGAATTATTTACTACAGGATAAAAGTTTACACATGTGTGTATAATTAATTTATTGACATGAAAACTAATTGATTTACTTGTAGATAACATTCATTGCTCAAAGCAAAAGTACCTTTTTTGCCATATTTTAAAATTTTGTTAGATCAGAATTTTAAACACTTTTCCGATAATTATTATGTTAAATTTAATTTGCCAATTATTTTTAGGCTCTTTGTTTAACACACTATCTTTTTTTTTTTTTTTTTTTTTTTTTACTTGTGTGCGTTTTGTAGTGCTTCGAGACTGCAGATTTTAAAATTTGACACGGATCGATTAGTTGAAGACAATTTTTAAGGATTATAATTTTTAATACCAGCTTCCAACAAAGAAGGGCGATGAATTTGCGTGACTGTGAGGAAAACCTAAAGAAATGCTTTAAGCAGCGATTCAGGCGAATCTGTGCTTGCATTTCATATAATTTCTTATCACGATTCATTCAGTTTCAAGAAAGTTTAAACTAACCCTTCGAAAATTTCTTTAAACTGCTCGACTTACAGTGCTTTGTACACCTTAGAACATTAAAACAAATGGTTATAACATTTTCATGATTTTAAATAAAATATGCTCTGGCACACTGGAAGTCGTTACGAAGACCGCTTCTTTCCAATCTATACAGTATTTTTTTTTATGGAGTGTATTTTTGGTAGGCATAATGAATAAATACAAAGGAACTTAAAAAATTAACAATACAATATAAAACTCTACATTTATTTCATATGCAACAGAAATTAAAAAACATAGATTGGCGCAAAATTAATGAAGCAGTAATGTTGTCATTTCACTTGAAACGCTGGAAATATTAATTATGAGCTTATTGTATTTATCTATGTATGGTTAGGTTAGGGCCCACCAGCGGCCGAGCGGTAAAGTCGCTGAACACTGGTAGTTCGGTCCGAGGTTCGAATCCCGCGAACGGGCTAGCTGCATGGGTGTTTTCGTGGATTTTCCCATGTGTAACGTGTATACGAACCAGTTTCCCTTATAAAATCCTCCACGAAAGCATCCCTCCCCTTAGGCAGATAGCCCTCGAGGCTTTGCCGTAATTAAATAACCTAACCTAACCTAACCTAAGGGAAACTGGCTCGTATACACGTTACACATGGAAGAAAACCACGAAAACACCCATGCAGCCAGCCCGTTGGCGGGATTCGAACCTCGGACCGAACTACAAGTGTTCATCTACTTTACCGCTCGGCCGCTGGTGGGCCTTATCTGTGTATGATCTTGCGGTAAGTAATTAGCACGTGCAACTAGCATGAAGACATGTGGTTTAAATTCCGGTAAGGTACAGCCAGTTTTCCATATTAAAAAGTCTGACAATCTTTATAATCTGACGTAATCTAGTCATTAGAAACGTACTATTTAATAGATAAAAAACATCTTACTGATTTTAGTGTTGTTCTCTCTAACACAAAATACTAACAGCACTTTGTTAGAATAAATTAGTGTCACTTTTGCGTAATGAAAGTCGGCAACGTCAAAAACAAACGAGCGCCAAACGATATATTGGCGAGAGAGGATTCTACTTATGTTCTGATGCAAAAGTCCCCCCCCCCCAAAAAAAAAGAGTTTGTACTTGCATTATACTTGTGTTTTAATCTTTTCAGCATGTTACCTTCTTTTATGGAATATACTCCTGATAATATTGCCTAATAGGTAAGACTGAAGCTATTTAAGACTTATAAATGAATCTCTTGTAAATTCTTTATTTAAATACTTCGATTTAAATGTTTGCAAAGATTGTTAACTTTGATTTGTACTCTATTTGTGTTCTATCTGAATTCAGAAAACTCTCTAACTTGTTAAACAAAGATTGCACAGTTATTCTCTAACATAATATTCTTTAACAATGTTAAATAGAAGATAGTGTACTTAAGCGCTTTAACTGTGTTAAATGCACAACATATCACAATTAAAATAATATAAAGTACAGTAAGTTATCAGTTACGAGCATCAGAATTGTGTGAATGTGGTGCGGTAGGTGATGCAGATCACTTCCTCTTCAACTGCCCACAAACCGATAAACTGCATTTAAAAATGCCAAGCAGTGAATACTGGCCGCAATGGGCGGAGAATACCTGAGGCAACAAGCAGACGAAAACTAAAATAGAGGAGGTAATCAGGCTATGCTCAGCAAGGTACTCCCTCTCCTTTGAGAATTGTATCTTCGCAGCATAATTTTAATAGCAAATCAAAATACTACGACAACTGAATATCAACACTAGAAAAATAGCTCACCCCGTAGAATAATAACACGACTGTAAGAGAAAAACTATTGTAATGTAAGCATATTACTATCCAGTTTGTATGTACTTGATAAAAAATAATATTGTAAAGCAGTTTAAATGATATTGAAAATCCAGTCAATGTGTAAATGAAATACAAGATTAATTTGATTATCTCAGTAAAAGTATTGTAAATATGAATTCACATAATGTTTAAATGTACACATAGCTGTCATGATTTTATGTATCTATCATATGTAACTTGTACAAGACAATGATTGTAATCAACATATCTATGTTTATACACAGCCCCTGTATGCCCATGTAATATTTACATGTATATTTTTACACGGAGGAAATTTTCCCTTCTGTCAGGATGACTATTAACTCTGTAAGACTTTTACAACAAAGTCAGGTCAGTGGTTATCTCAGGCGGCGCTCAGTAAGTTATCAGTCTTTTTCAGGCAGAGTAGCTTGAAAACACAGAAATTTGCGAAGTAATGATAAAAAAGTTTCTTTGTTCCTGAACAATTGTTGTGTATTTGCATAAACTCCATTCCTTTAAACACAGTTGAAATAAAAGTTCGGAGCAGTAAAATGCTTTCCATACTTTACCAAGGCAATAAGAAAATATGCAATAATATATTTTAAGTCTTAGTTCCTGTTATGCTAAATATTATTTAATTTTCCTATTCAATCCTTACCATTCTTCACTTTATATTATTGAATTAATCTATAGCGTGAAGTTCTTAATTCTGAGTACAATTTTTTCGTTTATTAATATGATGATGTTTTCTTTTAATATTTCTTTTAAATATTTTGGAAATTTCAGCTCTGGAGAAAACTGTGCTCTCCAAACTTTCTTCGCCCATCTTTCAAAAAACAGTTGCAGACATAATGTGTTAAATACTGTTGGAAAATGCCATAGAGAAAACAAGTCTATTGCAAACTAGAAAACAACACTCAGCTGGAGGGGGCTCTCAACTACGCTCTCTATATTAGCTATAAACATTCAAAGGCAGTACTCAAGCATCAATAAAAGTGTTAAAAAATCATGTTAAAATTATACAAAAAGCATCAGTCAGTGATGTATCGCCTACTTTGTTCGCAAAGAATTAATTAGAAGAGAAAAAGAGTCAAATCCTTCACTTTTTTTTTTTTTTTTTTTTTTTTTTGGCACAGTAGAATAGAAATACTCTTAGTAAAGTTCGTTTTCTTTCTTTATTATCAGGGGGAGAGGAAATCACTTTCCCTTTTTCCATTGTCTTTCCCTTCTCGGCATTCATTCGAGTGCGAAATCAAGAGAAAGAATTTTTTTTTTTTTTTTCGGAAGAATTTACTTCGACTTTCTTTCCCGAAACCAAGAGATCGTTTCTCTTAATTACGGTGCCATTCTTTCACTCTTTCCAATTTCCTAAGACATGTAATGAAATGCTTTCGTAACTGGAATTTTATCGCCAAAAAGTGAAATTGCTGTGGGTATTTTAGTTCAACATTCCTCCCTCTCCCCAGAAAAAAAGTTGGAAAATTATTCATAAAACCTGAAGTAAAAACGTCACGGTTTCATTCTGCTGTCTTAACAAAATATATGGCTGAATGTATATATTTTATCTATTGATCCATCTGTATGGAATACAACGAAAAATCCTGTAGGAAGCTGAATTAGAGTTTTTTGTAATTCCATTTAGAAAAAAAATGGATATCGGTGAAAAGCTGCTAGACATCTTTTGACTTCAATCGTAGAAATTCTCAAAAATAGACGTAAACGTAACCTTAATTTTTACTGGGTAAAGTAAGTTTAACCAACGTACATTTAATTAAAGTATTATAGAATTATACAGAGACTCTGAAATATAAGAATACTCTAACTCAGTGATCGCCAAACTGTCGATCGCGAGTTACTAGTAGTTCGTGGGGACACTTTCGGTAGATCGTGTTAAAGCTTCGTTTGGCTAACCTCGATTTCTCTACCTAGCTGACGCTGACGACAACTATTTATTTCTTCCGCACAACTGCTAATATCAACCTATGTCATAGTTGATTGTATACGTATGAGATTGTGCACGTTATGTTTTAGAGTATATATTAGATATTTGCTAACTTAAAGGGTCTGACTTACACATTGGTCTTTCTGTTTTGTCTGTTCTAATGATGGTGTTTTCTAGCAAAAAGCAGAAAACTTATCATTTTCATTTGGAATGGGAAACCGATTACTTCTTTACTCAGGTAAACGACAAATGTGTGTGTTTATCATGCTATGCAAGTGTATCAGTTGAGAAGATAAGGAATGTCGAACGTCAATTCAAAACTGTTCACGCGGGGACTGAAAAGGAATCCCCAATGAATTCTGCTCTGAGTAAGGAAAAGCTAAGGCAGATAAAACCTAAACTTGATGCTCAACAATCAACTTTTTAAAAATCAATTAACGAGAATAAAGCAGCAACTGACCCGTCATTCCGAGTTTCAAATATTATTACACAGAACAGAAAACCATACGAAGTCGGTGAAGTAATCAAAACTGCACTTCTAGAAGTTGAAGATGAATTATTTGATAATATCTGCTATTAAAGCTGCACAGCTTTCTGCAAATGCAATAATAAGATGGGTTGAGGTTATGAGTTCTGACGCTACCCCACAACGTAAAAGTGACTTTGATCGCTGCAGCTATTTCTCCCTGCAACTTTACAAATCGACTTATCATGTTTTACATCATATAGTCAATACAGCTCAGCTGGCCGTTTTTGCAAGAATGGCTTTTGATAATTTCAAAATAGGAGAGGAGCTAGTAAAGATTATAACGTTAGCAGGACGCACTACAAGACAGGACATAATTTTAGTAGTTAAAGATCTTATCAACTCTGAAAATATTCATATAAATAAATTGGTAGGCTTAGCAACTGAAGGATCTCCTGCGATAGTAGGCAGAGAGAAAGGATTTATAAATTTGCGTCGTAAAGACAACAGCTTTCTGAAATTTCTGTCTTACTATGGTGTAATACACCATGAGTCACTGTGTGGAAAGTTTTTAAGTATGAACAATGTAATGAAAACAGTTATAAAAATAGGGAACAAAGTTGCAGAACATTCAATTCAGAGACGTTTGTTCAGAGAGCTGATTGATGAACAAGATTGCCAATATGGTGATCTATTGCTTTACACGGAAGTTCGTTCGTTGAGCAGAGACAGAATTTTATAGCGTTTTCACAACTTGTTTCCTGTCTTAGCAGAATTTATTAAAGAACTAGAGAAATCCTTCCGTGAACTAAAAGATCCGGCTTGGCTGCAGGATTTTGCTTTTCTCGCAGATATCACCGAAAAGTTAAAATATCTTTAATTTGTAGCTTCAGTGTAAGGATAAAGATATTGGCATACAATTTTAGATGTACAGGGCGTTGCTGATGATATTCATTCGTTACAGTCCCCCCGGCTACGAAGACGTCTCGTTGAACAGCCAGAGGAAAAATTCTGTGGTTGGTTCTTTTGCGAAGCATTCTTAGAAATGCTCTTTATTGGTCTTCCTCTTCTTTAAATGGTCGGAGGGCAGACGTGTGATACGTTCCAAGAAGCAAGTTTCGATCTTTAATATCAGCTATTTTATAGCTAACAGGAGAATGTCTCTTTAATATTATATAGGGACCATCCAATCGGGGTGCGAATTTTGCGGACCATTTTTTGGTCTTATTACTAATAGGATGTGAGGTTACCCATACTTCGTCGCCAGCTGAGTACTGAATTGCAGAACGACGGTTCTGGTCTCCGTACTTCTTTCTTTGGTCTTGCTTTCGTTCGATGAGATCTTTAATTTCAGTTGACATATTTGCAAATTTTCGAAGATAAGGAGTAATTTCTTCAACAAAATTTTCATTTTCGATTATTGATATCATGTTTTACATCATCTAGAATTATGAGTTCCCTTCCAAACTAGAGAAAGGCTGCGCTGTGTGACGTCGTGTCACGTTTCATGGTATTCAACATGAATCGTATTTTTGGTACTTTTTTTCAACCATGTAGTATGATCGTTACCGACAAGAATTGCTAGTCTTTGCTTCAAATCCTTATTCTTGCGTTCTACAGGGTTTTGTTTTGTTAGGGCGCAGCCCGGTCCACCTTGCAAAACAAAGTTTGCCCTATGACCATATGCGAGCTACGTCAGTGTTCTACAGGTTTTGCCATAGGGCAATAAAGAGGCGTTAACACTTGAGTTAGTCGAGCAAATAGCAAACGTATTGTAAAACAATACTAATAAATTACGTGCCATTGTCGCTGATAAGTCGATGTTGAAACCCATAGCGAAGAAACATCTCTTCGATAAGGGTTATAGCACACTCTTTGGCAGTGGCTTTGTTCAGGGCAAAAGGTTCTGTCCACTTCGTACTTGTATCTTCAATAATGAAGATCCATTTATGCCCATTCACAGTCTCTGGTAGAGGACCAAAGAGATCTTTGCTAGAGTTTCGTACCTTTGGGAATATATAGGTGTCCTTAAAAGTCCAACGGGCTTTTGGTTGCTAAGTTACATTCCATAAAATTACTAACGTACTCTGAGATGCATTTTCGCATTCTTGGGGGAGTAATAGTGCAATGCTATTTTGTGATAAGTACCCTCTGCTTTATACTGCCTGCTGTGGTACTCTTTCAAAGCATTTTCTCGTTCCTGGATTGGAAACGACGAGTAGTTGAGCTTCTTCTGATTCTGTGTCTGGAGCATACCGATAAAGAACTCCTTGGGACATAAAATAACCACGACTTTTCCAATTTGCGTAGTTTTCATCTTTGGAGCCGCTCTAGTTTCATCTTTGAATCTCTCTCTAGAGTCAATGATTTTCTTTAAATCTTATCCTTTAATTTCTCTGCTCGAATGTCACCTGATTTTCTTGTTGGCAGATCAACAGTTACTGTGCACAAATCACAAGAGAGCTCTCTGTGTTCACAGACATGGCGAGATAGCACATCACCGATAACATTCGACTTTTCTGGTATATATTACACATCTAAATCGTAAGATTGAATTTGAAGAGCCCAACGCGCAAGTCTACCGATTGGTGATTTTATGCTCAAAACGTTTCAGTGGTTGGTGATCCGTCTCTGCAATTATTCTAGATCCTTCCATGTATCCGCGAAACTTTTCTAATGCCCATACAACTGCAAGGGCTTCACGCTCTGTGATGGAATAGTTCCTTTCAGATGACGTTAGCAGCCGACTTGCGTGAGTGTTCGTTTTCTGTGTCTTTGTTTTGAGTCATTTCAGTGCTCGTTTCTTTCTCCTCGGATCAGGACTGCACTCAGTACGTAATTTGAGGAATCCGTTCTGAGAACACAAGTTTTGGTATCATTGACATGTTTTAACACTGGTGGAGAAATCAAGCCTTTTTTTCAGGAATTCAAATGCAGTTTGTTATTCCTGTACCCATTTTTAAGTGGAATGCTTCTTCGTGAGAATATTCAATGGTTTTTAGAGCCCTGCAAAATTAGGGATGTAGCGTCGATACCAGCTGCAAGTCTGAAGAAAACTCTGTACTTGTTTCACATTCTTTGGTGAGGGAATTTGTTAAATGACTTTTACTTTGGCAGGGTCTACTTCAATTTCAGAACTTGTGATATAATGTCCGTGATATTTCAGTTTAGAACAAGCAAAACGACATTTGTTTCGATTGGCATGAGAGTTAATCAAACACTAATCTTAAGTCGATTGGCATTAAAGAGTCGATCAAACACTAATCTTAAGTCTTCGAGATGCTCCCAAAAAGTAGAAGACATCACAATAATATCGTCGAGATAAGTATCGTCGAGTGTTGACCTTTAACCCAGTCCGGAAAATATCCATTAATCTTTGGAAAGTGGCTGGTGCCGTCTTCAATCCAAAAGGCACCTTTTGAATCTATAGACTGCAAACTGGCATACAAAAGCAATTTTGTCTTTCTCTGGAGGGCACGTCTTAACTTGGTGATACCCTTATTTTAAGTCCATAGTAGGCATGTATCTAGTTTGCTTTGCATTATGAAGAAGTTCATTCATATGAGGCAGCGGGTATGGATCAGACTTAGTCACAGAATTCCGTTTCCTGTAGCCAATACATAAGCGAAAGTCACCGCTCGGCTTGAGAACTAAAACAACGGGTGCTGCATACGGTGAATCGCATTCTTCGATTATGCCTGATGCAAGAAGTTATAAATATTTCTCCCGCTTTCCTAGTGGTGTCCCGCTTTTCTTCCGCTTGCCTTCGTGGTGTAGCGGTCAGCACACTAAGCCTGTATTTCAGAGGTCTGTGGTTCGATTCCCGGCGAAGGCTGTTGCTAATTTTTCCTCTCTCTGGCTTCCAAAAATCCTAATGTCTCTACAGTCGCTCCCGAACTACAAACGGTGTTGGATGATGATTCTCCTCATCCAGGATTTGGCGACTAGGTCCTCTAAAACCCTAGTCGCCCTTTTAAAAGGGGAGTATATAAGGTATTTCTCCCGTTTTCCTAGCGTGCCTTCGTGGTGTAGTGGTGAGCACACTGAGCCGATATTTCAGAGGTCCGTGGTTCGATTCCCGGCAAAGGCGGCTGCTAATTTTTCATCTCTCTGGCTTCCAAAAAACCCTAATGTCTCTACAAAGTGCAACGATTTCTTTTTTGAAAATCTCCTTTCTTGCTGGAGATAGCCTGTAAGGGGTTGGAGCCACTGGAGGCGAATCACCTGCATCGATTAGGTGCTCGATGTAAGGAGTTCGTTCTCCCCCCCCCCCCCGGAGAGAACGTAGTTTCGTATTTTTTCAATAAGGCATTCTATTGTTTTCGCTGCTCTTTGGTTAGATTTTTCACCTTTTTCTGGACGCAGTAGGAAAGGATTTGTTAACATGTCACAGGATTGAACTTGAACTCTCTCAACAAATGGGAAACATTTATTTGGATTGTCACCAAAAACCACTTTTGCTCTCAAATATTTAGAACTACTCCAAATCAAGCAGTGTTCGATTACCTGTAGCATCAGGGAGAGCTAGTGTCAAATGTTCGTCCTCATCAGTGTCAAAGGGAATCTTCGTCCTTCAAGACCAAGTTTTACACGAGTTGTGTAAGCGTCTTTCGTTGTTTGGCTGCCATCAGCGAGACCAACAGTGCGAAAGGATTTCTCGAACTTTACCCCATCTTCTTTCAAGATCTGGTACAGGTTTTTGCCAGTGAATGCTTTAAATGACTTGTTCCACTATCCGCACAAACTGTGTCATATATTACATGGATGTAGATATTCATCACTGCAGATGTCTTAGTGTTGCCTACCTTTTGTATTCAAATATTATCAAAACGAGCTGAGGCTGAACTCCTGGAGTACTGACAATCTGGGCATTTTGATTTAATAAATCTAACTTTGTCACAACCATAGGCTGAGAGAATTGATTTATCTGCTACACTGGTATACGTCTTCTTCACTGGCGTAGATTTTAGGATACCATCTTCGAAATTGGAAGTTTTCTTTCGAGTTTGTGAGACTGCAACTTTGCTTCGATTATTATGTAAACAATCGTACATGTCCAACTTTTCTACTAATTCTGCAGGCGAGTTTAAGTTCGACCAAATGCCCAAAAGTGATCTCTTATTTCTTGAGAAACTCTCTTTTTCATCTAGTCAGCTATAATGAGCTGCTTCAAATCATCAAATTTTGTAATATTTAATTCCCTAAGCCAATTTTCAAAATAATTGGTCAGTTCAAAGTAGAAATTACGCCAAGTACTTTCTGCTTTGTTCCAACGTATAGCGAACAGTTAATCGGAATTTATCAGTGGTGAGCTTATATCTCTTTAGAAGCATTTCCTTCATCTTTTGGTAATCTCTTGATTCCTCTTCTGGCTGAAGAGCAATCAATTTTTCAATTTCTGTTGGTAACGATCCCAATAAATACAGAACCCAAGTTTCTTCTAGAACCTTTAAAAACTTCAGTTGTCTCTGAAAAACATTTAGAAAAAAGGCCATGCCATTATCTTTAGGGTCATTTTAGGTAAAATTCTCTCAAGATCCCAATTGGTTTTTTTCAACTTCGACAACAGGAGCTGCTGTAGTGAAGAGAGGTGTCTTCTGAATTTCAAGTTGAAGTTTGAAGTGTTCCAATTCATAAGCTCGTTCTTCTTCTGTTTCTTTGGCTAATTTATCTTCCTTAACAGCTTCTTCTTGAGCAATATGTTCTAATTCAGCATATTTTTCAAGGCTTTCTTCTGTTATA